AGTTCGGTTGGACCCTCAGTTGGACCCTTCTTTAATGGAACTTGAAAAGTAATAAATATGAATTATAACCTTAAATTCCACAGGACCCCAGCACGAAAAAATTAAATAATATATGTATCACAAAGAAAAAGTCTACACGTAATGAGAAAATTTTAACTGATTCTAAAGGAATGAATCAGGCAGGTATATACATAAGCACGCACATGTCATGCTGAGATATGCCCACTATAGCCACTACATTAATCTAATTAGGAAATATATAAACCATATGCCAACTTGATATCTGACTGTGAAAATGAATAAAAACGAAAATATTTGGTGGTGACTAATTTGTCAACTTCTCATCTATAATATATCGTTTTTGGTGTTATCTGGCTAACAGCTAATTAGCGTTTTAGATTTACTTTATTAGATTTTGAAGAAGAAAGTTACTTTTTCAGTAGGAAGATACTTTGAATATCTTCTTCAATGGTTGTCAAGATCAACGCTGATCAAATATGGTTTATTTTCCTGATCCTTGAAAAGTCATAAAAGAATTATTTATATCCACAACTTAATTAATTAAAGTTAAATCTTTAATTGAGTTTCTCAATTATTGTATGGATTTCTGAGTTGGTCTTTAAACTAAAAAAATTTTTAATTTGGTCATTAAAATTTTTAAATTTTGGTTTCAAGTTAATCCCTCCGTTAAAAAATAATTCACGTATTTGTTATTTAATAGTAAAAGACAACCACGTATTATATTAATAACGAAATATGCCAATTTTTTTAATAGAAATACCAATTGAAAGCTAAATTTAAATTAAAGCTAAATTTAGAAATTTAAATGACTAAATTAGAGATTTTTTTATATTTAAAAAACCAACTCAAAGATTCGTATAATAATTGAGAGATTAAGTTAGGGGTTTAATCATTAATTAATCCCACAGGTACCCCTTTTTTTTTTCAGTAAGAGATTGTTTAAAGAGGAGAGAAAATCCAATTCATCAGCTCGTAATTCCATATTAAAAGTAGGACAGATGCATCAACCACTTGGTTATGAGTGACCATAAGTTATGTTATATGATGATAGAATTGCACGTGTGTGCGGTTCTAGTTTTAATTATAAGTTTTGGGTTTAATGTTTAGTTTTATCCATATATACTAGAAAAA